GTCTGAGCGCAGGGGCGGGGTTGCCCGCCTGGGCCGTGGGGCCGGCCCGGAACACTCGTGGGGTCTCGCCAGCCGGTCGCACCGGCACCCACCGCCGTCGGTTCGTGGGTCAGGCCACGGGGGTCTTGTCCAGCCCTGAAGGCAGCCGTCGGAGGGTTGCTGCTCTCCCGGGTGTAGCTGGGCTGCAGCGCTGCCTGGACCGCGGCGTGGCAGGGACCCCATGGCTCTGTCCCGAGAACCTCCCAGTGCCAGCGCATCGGGGGACCCTCCTGGCAGCCCCGCTCCTGCCCAAAGGGCAAACCGTCCCCACACAGGGCAAACACCCTCCGCTTTCACTGACAAGGGCAGGCGAAATCTGTTTCTTCAGCGCATCAGTGGAAATTGCACTACGCCATGGCCGAAGAGCTGCCTATTTCCATTCCCTGCGGTACTCGAACAAGCTTGCGCTATGTTTAAGGCTAGCTTGTACTTATGTTGTTTATGCTGGCAGCCACCGGGCAGATTATGGTCATTTTATCACATAAAATCTTGCTATGGTTTTTACATTGTCAGTTCAGCAAAGCATGTAAACTTGGAATCAACTGCTATCCGCTTCAGGGAGCTGTAAGTACCTGTCTCCCGTTAACGAGGGAAGGGCCAGACCCAGAGGCACGCAGTCGCCCCCTCTGAGGGGGGGAGTTTAAGCACATTACATGGAATGGATTTAAACATCTATTAAAGTTGTCACACGCTTTGCTGAGTCAAGAGTGAATATTATCAAAAGTGTTGAAGTGACTCGGGAATCTGTATCTCCTTTTAAATGCTTGCATAAACTCTGAGGGCTTGCATCTTGGGATTTCGACTTTAAAAGTGCACAAGCTCTTTTGAAGGGCGTACTCCAGAATCTCAGGCACTTCCTTCAAACAGGGGAGCAAGAAGAGACACACGTAACTCACTGGGCTGGCAAGCGTTAAGTTCCCTCGTGTCTAGGACCCAATTGCTCAGGATTTGGCTGCTCTTTACCATTTTGAAACCTGTTTTCTCTGGCATTCATGTCAACATCCGAAGGCCTTATGATTTCAGCAGAAGCAGAACTAAGTTCATCATCTGGGCTCAGCCATTTTGCCTGGAGCTGGAGACATACCTTTGACCAGTGAGAATTTGCCAGAACACAGCATAAAAGTGCTTTGATTGCAAAGCAATTTAAGATAGAAAGAGATACTCACTTCTATGTGTGCTTTCCAGTGCTTTCGACAACTCGAAGTTCAAGTCCCTGGCTTTGTGTGATCCAGACGAGGGGATTTCTTTGGTTTTTGTCTTTCTCTGGGATCTGTGTGACTCGAGGCAGACCAAAGACATCCACCTGGACTTCTCATGTCCTTTCTCAGGACCTTTTCTCAAAAATATTCAACCTGTGTGAAAAAGAAATAAAAGTTCCGGTAAAGAGACAACCAGACAGTGCCCGCTACACGGGAAGGAAGCACCACGCTCGTTAGGAACTCTGCGTTATCCCTCATTAGTTCGAAAGTCTCTACCTGTTTTAAAGTCTCCCTTTCAATTGAGCTAAGGTGTGCTTAAACGCTCTCCTGAACAGAAATATTTCAGAAGTTGCTGCTCACTACCTAGCGTTTGTGCAGGGAACGAGGCACCGTGGTCCTTGTTCACGCACAGCTCCCGCTGCCTGGTGTAGGAGAAGGGTAGCCTGTGTGAGCAGGCATCTGCGTGCATCTGTGTGTGTTCCATATGCACACGCATTCATTATGGATGACATACAAATGCTGCTCCTGCTGCCCGAGCAGATTGTTATGGTAAGGCTCACGTCCCACTGATCTCACTGCAGGGCTTAGGAAGCATTCAGAAGCCTCCCAAAATGCGTTACAAACGATGTACGGAGAAATTACTTCCTCCGGCGCTGAAACAGTCATTGTCGTGGTGTGATGAAGGAACTGTTAAACAGACACAGCAACAAGACTGAAGCTGGATGCTAGCCAGGGTATTTCAAGCAACTTGTAAAAAGTTCACTGATTCTTTAATGACTCCACCTGGTTAGAGCAGGACCTCTGGTTTATGTGCCTTCCAGAAGATACGTTGCAGAAGTGTGTCTTAGACGATATGAATCAAGCCGGCTCCTCTAACATCATGTTGGTCTGGAATAGCTGTTGACCTGATGGAGTGTTAATGGGAACATTTATTTGTTTCTTTATCACTACAAAGATGTCATATATACTTACCCGGCTGCTGCCACTGCTCCCAAAGGGCTGTCAGCACAAGAGCCATTAGAACATGACTGCCAGAGGTTATTTTCTAAAATGATTCTATAAAGAGAGAAGGAACTTGGAGACAAAAATTGCCAGTAAAAGAACAGTGCAGTGCGACATGAGCCAAAGAAGCTTTTCTGAACGCCCGTCAGTCTCCGCTTCTATTGCTTACGGAGAGCAACAGGCACGCAGCCCGGACCCGGCCTGGCACGGGGTGCGGGTGCTGTGCCTGGCACGGTGAGGGTGGGATTTGCCACCGGGACCCTCCCGCGCTCTCCCCGTTCATCGAAACAAACGGGTGAAGCTGGCGTGGCGCTGGGGGGGGGCTGCACTCGGGTGATACACCCCGTCTTCATGTTTCTTCACATTTCTGGCTTACCTGAGAATGCAAGGACTTTAACACAGAGCGTTTCGGTAACACAGTCATTAGAAAATAAAAATTAGGTAAGAAACCCACTGCCTTTACCTGTGGAAAAAACCCAAATCCCATCACATTTCATTTGTGTTGTGCCATGACTTGACAGTTTAAGGAAATTGCTAATGGGACCTTTTACTGCTAGGTCACTAGTTCAAACCTGGCTCTGTCAGTAACGACCAAGAGTATCTGATGAATGTTTGATGACGTGAGATTAAAATATGGGTCTCGATCCATTTATCAGTAGAAAAACCCTTCAACATCTTGAGCCCCTAAAAGCTAACCCCGAAGAAAACCTGCAAGGCGGAAGCGTGAACAAGCCCTCCGCAGCCCTACGGCAGATCAAGGTCAGGATGGGGGCATGCAGATGGAAAAGCTTACAGCACTGATGTCTGGGCAGAACCTTTCTGTACATAAACAAATCCACCAGTTAATGCACTAAAATACTCCAGTAACAGTACAGTATGAGAGCGCCAAATCCGGTATTGTTCTCAAAGGGAAAATGATCCTGGCGCAGGGGATGAGATGCAAACTTTAGGACATTCAGGATCAAGAGCTGGTTTATACTAGTGCCAAAACTCAGAAATTCACAATTTCGTGAGCTGAAAAGTTCTGTTTGAATTTGTCACTATTCTAATGCTACTGTAAAGTTGAAATTCAAATGTCAAGGTAAGGGTTAAGGAGTTGGTGAATGTCCCTGCTTATGCTTTTGAGATCAACAGAAAAAGTTACTGCCTACTTCAGTACTTCCCAAACTGTCCCTTGTTCTCAAAAAGCGTAAAGCATCGCTGGCAGAATTCAGCAACTGCTGACAGGCAGAGACTGAGGGCCGACGTCTGAGTAAGAGAGAGCCGCCTGCCCTGCGGAGCCTCGCCGGCCTCCAAACAAGCGCCAGGGCTGGCTGCACGCGCCAGACATGGTCTGTAACACACGTGTGCGAGGTCCAGTTCTGCAGCCTTTCCAGGACCTGCTCTGCACCCTCCTGAAGTCCCTCAGTGCTGCTCCTTCAGGTTATGACCTACAGACCCAGGAAGACAGGGGGTCCACCAAGAAAGGCGGGGGGGGTGTCCCGCCAGGGGGCCTGCCGCCGTATGGGATTCCACGCTGCGAGCTTCCAAAATAAAGTGATGGGGAAGGCTCGCATCCCTTGTAAACTCACCAAGCGCTTGCAGAACATTTACCAGCTGCTCAGAGTAAAATTAAAAAAGCGTGAGGGCCATCTGGCGGGAGCGGGGAGGGGGTTTGACTTCACCTCATTGTTCTCCGCGTTTCTGCCATGGGCTAAATCCAGCTGTGGAGACCGCTGGCCGGATGCTGAGAAAGGGGGGAACGCTGGAGGGGCCGTGCTGGCATCACTTACCTCGGGAACACGCCTTCCACCTCAACACATCCTTTCCAAGGGAATATATCTATGATGGCTGTATCACCGCCAAAAGGCAACACGCTTCTGCCAAGTGCTGCTGTGTCAGGGATGGAGGCAGCTGCTGGGGCCGGGGCTGCTGCACGGCGCTGCACCGTACCTGCAAAAACACGCGAGCACGGACTGCGGCACGAACACCCACCAGGGATGGGAAGTCTGGTGCTGCAGGCAGGGAAAGGCTCCTCTGCACCATTTACAGGGCAGGAGCAGGGCTGTTTCTGCCCGGTAAAGCTCAGCACTGACTCACCGAAGCCAGCAGCATTTACCCGACCACTGGAAATCCTGCAGGACTGGGACTCAGCCTACCTCTGCCTGCCGTTTGAGCAGGCACGGTGCGTGCTAGGTGGGAGTGCTGGAGTTACAGATCCCAGACTGCAGCCTGCAGACACCACCCCAATCAGCGTGTTCTCTGACAGTCACCGTTTTCCAGGTACACAGAAATGATCTGCTCTTCTTGCTTGCATTTGGGTTTGATATCTGTAAATTAAAATTCTGTTCATCGCACCTAACTCATAGAAAACAATCTTACTGCCTCAGAGGAATCTGGAGCATTAACCACCACCCAACATCTTCTTGCAAAGGAAAAAGTATCAGTGCCACTCAGGAATAACGTGAGCTGCGACCAGTAGCCCTGACCCTGCTCCACGGGCGCTACTGCTCCCCTCGGGCGCTGCGCAGCCTGCTCGGGCCACAGACTGCGCACAGTGAAGCCCGTGCTTCACCCCGCGCCAGAACAAGGGTTCATGCTTCAGTATTTGGGGTAGCCACTTTTTTTAACTCCATACATTCTAGGTGGAAAAATTAAAAATCAAGGCAAAGCAATTTTTTTCATTATTCCAGGAGTCTCAGACATGCTAGGAAGGTGCTGGACAAAGAGCTACCAGCCATGCAAAAGGCAGTGGGGTGCTGCGCATTGCACGAATAGCCGGCACACACACAGAAAACATCTTATCACACACAATACTCCTGTGGAGCTCTGCAAGGGGCACTCACCCAGATCCCACCCCACCAGTTTCCCAGCCACAGCTTCAGAATGAGTTGAAACCCAGAGTTAAAAAAGCTGTGAAGACCCTCCGACTGCACCACTTTGCTTCAGCAGTCTCCAAGACTTTGGAGTTGCAAGTATAGAGAATTATGTTCTAATTTTAATGTTTTTTCCCAGCCACATAACATTTTTTATGGAAG